TACGGTATCTTGATTTCTTAGTAGGCATCTTGGGCTGTCTAGCGAAAATTTGCAGATTTAATTTATGAATTTAGCTACCAAAAAATACGTATGTTTAATCTGTACTAGTGGTGGTTGCACAAACAGGCGATCTTTACTGGTTCAAACGATGAAGTTCTCTAATTTAACATTGAAAACTTCAAAGGTAATGTCGGCAATATAGGTTATCGTGTATCTTTGCTATAATTTAAATTGCTACATTTTTGTAACCTCTATAATTATTTGATTCTAAACGCTTAGTTAAAATAGTACTTTATGTCACAAAAAATTAATTTGAACTTTTTTAAGAATTGCCTTATAAAGTTATTATTGATCTGAATATTTGAATGACCTTAGAAAAAAAAGTGCGTGCGTACAAAGTACATATGTCAGAGTGAAACTTCTTTGGCAAACCAATTTTTAAATCTCGTTTATATTTATACTAATCAAAATCTTTAGGCTTTCGAGACTCAGAGGGAGGGAAAAGGAAAGATATGTTAAGAATATAATGAATTTAATTGTAATTTAAATAATAAGAGTGTCAAAAATTAATATAAATTATAAATTTAATTTTTTTAATATATTTCTTCGATATTTACATTATTTGATGCAATTTCTATTGGTATTGTTGTGACCAAAACATTATGATAACTAAAATAAGCAATATAAGTTCGTGTTTCAACATTATCTAAATATCTTATAAAAATAACATCTAGTGTCGTTCTTGAATTTGTAGTTGTGGTGTTTGGATTATTATACATCAACTATTGATGTATTGCCATCTAAAGTTCTAATAATTAATTAATTAACTACTAAGCGAATACATCAACCAATAGTGTGTATTTTTTCTCGATCTCCCTTACTCTCTCTCAATCTTTCTCATTAGCTCTCTCCCATCTCTCGCTCCATGGCTATGTGCTTCATGCTACAATAATTTACATTCGCCCTTTCTCACTATCTCTCTCAATCAGTATCAATCGCTATCTCCCTCTTTTTGGACAAAAACGTCCTACATTTTCGTGACGCTCATATTTTATTATTGCATTTCATCTGTAAAAATTTTACCCGCATGCGTGCAAAAAAGTTTCATTTAAGAAATTCCTAATTTTGAAGTCAAATTCGCTCCTTAAAATTTTTCAAATTAATTTCCGAAAAATAGTAAAAGTACTCACTCGTCAGACTATCACAATAACGTACTTCTGATTGTAAAATCAAGTTTTTCTTACAGCAACCTCCGAGTTCAAAAAGATAAAACCACGTTTTGCTTTCGACTTCAAAGTGCTGAAAAGCTCAACAGATGTTTCATAAAACTTTAAATAAATCAAGTGATTTCACGCGTATTATGACGTTTGACGTAGTAATTCGAGTATTATAAAAGAACCTGTTGCACAAATCAGTTAGACTGAAAATTTCAAAGTAATTTAGAATAAATACTTCTTGTTAATTTTTTGACAACAATGCTTATCAAACGAATCAATTGATTACGACCAGATTAGAGGTGATGTTGCTGCTTTTTAAATTAAAAGTTTTCTTTTTCTAATCGGTCGATTAAGTCGTTTAAAACTTTTGGGGTATTGGAGGCTAATAATTACATACTGCCATTTTAATTAAAATATTTAGTCTGTATCGCAAAAAATTTTCTTTTGTTGATCATTCATGTAAAATTACTTGAGTTTTGCAAAACTAAACTTTATTAGATAAATATGAAGTATTTCACTTTAAATATAACAGCCCTGATAAAATAAAAGTATTGAGACAAAGAAAAATGTATTGAAAAGTATTGGTTTTCTAGTCAATCCAATACTTTTCAATACTTTTTTCTTTGTCTCAATACTTTTTTTTATTCAGGGAGCTTACAGAAAAAAGTTGACATCTTTATTTATCTAAATTTTTCAATGATGCTATTAAAAATTATTTTATCGATGATTAGATATGGCGGGAGAAGAAAACCGTGAACTAAATTTCCGGAGAATAATGAGAGAGTTGCGATTACCGGCGAATCATTTTAGATATGAAGGTAATAATCGAACTCGGTGCTTGTTATGTACAACGGAATTGGTTGGTTTGAAAAAATATAAATTTGAGCGTCATTTAGACACCGCTAAACACCAAGGAGCTATCGAAAGACGTAACCAACCCGTTTTCCCTGAACCACATCATGTTGGTAATTTGAGTAGTCGATAGTCTCCATTTTTGAAAGATTTCGCTGCTGCGTGTATTAAGTCTGACATTTGCATAGACAAAGCTTGCCGACCTCATTTTGTTGAATTTTTTGAAAGACACACAAAACATAAAATGCCTGATCCGACGACAATCAGTAAAACCTACGTGCTAATAATTTATGAAGAAACCTTACAAGCAATCAGAGAAGAAATAGGAGATAATCCTATTTGGGTTTTAGTCGATGAAACGATCGATGCTCAACGTCGATGTGTGACTAACGTTATCATTGGAGCATTGCGTGAGGATAAAGCTTCAACTGGGCGACTGATAAAGTGTGGAGAGCTGTTAACACCAAACGCCGAAAACATGGCAGCGTTCATAATTACGACTTTGAATGAATTTTTTCCTAACTTTGATGCTAATCGAGTTCTTTTGTATTTGACTGATGCGGCACCCTACATGAAAGCATCGGCAGTAATTTTGAAAAGAACTTATCCAAAACTCGTCAATGTAACATGTCTAGCGCACGCATGTCATAATATTGCTGAGAAAGTGAAAGAGTGTTATGGTGACGTGAATGCTCTCATTGCCAGTGCCAAAGAAGTGTATTCTAAATCTAGGAGAAGGACTGATGCATTCAAAACCGCTCTTTCTAACGTTCCTTTACCACCTAGACCAATCACAACTCGATGGGGTACATGGATTGAAGCGTGTCAATATTACTGTTTGCACTACGAAGAAGTGGAAGGAGTATTTCTGAATCTTTTGCCAGACAGTTCAGCGGTCGAAAGATTGCAGGATTGTTTGGATAGGCCATGGAACCATGAAGAGTTTGAAGAAATCTCACAACATTTTTCATGTTTAGTCACTGCAATCAAACAACTTCAGAAAAGAGGGTGTAGCTTGGCTCAAGTTTGTGAAATCGTAGCGGAATTACGGGAAGAACTGGAAAATGACATGGAGATTGATGAAGAAATATGCGAGAAAATAGAGCGAGTTTTTGAGAACAATGAAGGGCTATTAGCAATGATAAATGTAAATGATTGCATTTCAAATGGACTGATGCAAAACTTGCCGGATAATTGGGATGATGAAGACGCCCGTCGAATGAAATTCGCACCTTTAACTTGCAGTGATGTTGAAAGGTCATTTAGTATTTATAAGGCGTATTACAGAAGTAATAGACAAAGCATGAAGTTTCTAACATTAGCTCAACACATGGTAATAAACTACAATCAGAATATTGGACGTGAGGAAGACGATGCAGAGGAGAATGAGGCCGGCGAGAACTGATCTAAAGAACGATAGGTTTATGTTTGTTGTCGTTATTGTGGTAAGATTCAGAGTGTTGTAATTTTATAGTGTTCATTGATTAATTTGATTGTTTTTTTTCCACAGTTCGGAGAAGATGATCATTGGATAGAATACCTTCTTGTTAATACTTGTACAAGTATTCCTGTCTGAAGTATCCATGCCTGAAGTGTTAAATACGCTCAGGCCTGAGCAGGCCTGTCCATGTCTGATCAGACCTGTTCATGTCTGAAGTGTTAAATACGCTCAGGCCTGACCAGCCCTGTCCATGTCTGATCAGTCCTGTCCATGCCTGTTCATGTCTGTTCATGTCTGACGTATTAAATTCGCTTAGGCCTAACCAGGCCTGTCCATGCCTGATCAGGCCTGTCCATGTCTGAAGTGTTAAATACGCTCAGGCCTGTCCATGTCTGATCAGGCCTATCCATGCCTGTTCATGTCTGTTCGTCTCTGAAGCGGTAAATACGCTTAGACCTGATCAGGCCTGCCCATGCCTGTTCATGTCTGAAGCGTTAAATACTTCAGGTCTGACCAGGCTTGTTCATGTCTTTATCTCTGAAGCGTTAAATACACTCAGGTCTGATCAGGCCTGTCAGAAATGTGATGAAAATTTTTTCTTTGACGGAAAAAATTTTTTTGGTCATCACAAGATGTGCAAAATTATTTTTATCATTACGTTTAAATAATTTTGAAATAAAAAATTTGTTACATATCCCATGTTTTGTTCTGCTCTGCTCCTGCCTAATATTTAAATCATTACTTATTTTATTATTTAAATAAATTTGATGTTATAATGAGATTCGGTTAAATAAATAAATTAGGACTATCAAAATATATTATAAAATCAATTTTTATCTTATATTTATGATAAACTTATTTGATACGTTATATACTTCATAGAATTGTTGTCTATATAGCAGCACAGCAGGCGGGAACTTCAAGGCCCACGGACATTATCAAAGTTAAGCGGCATTGAGCGTGATTAGTAGTTCGATGGGTGACTGCTGGTGTTACAGCCGTGCAATTATATGTAATCATTTTTTTTTTATTTTAATTCATTATAGAGAATTGCGAGAGGCTGGCAATAGCCTAGTCGGCTCGGTGCCCGCTTTTCGAAAGAGTGGGACCCGGGTTCGATGCCGGCACGCACCAATATTTTTCAGTAATTATAATTAAAAAATATGTGCGCTACATTGCCAGCCTCTGCAAGTGGCAGAGATAGCCGGGCGGCACACGTCTGACTTGGGCGATCTCCCAGTTAAGCTACAACTTAACGGGGTGACCACTCTAGTCAGCGTTGGCTAGCACGAGGGATCTCTGCACACTAGAAGAAGGGCCTAATGCTCCAGTGGTCTATAATCTGAGGGTAATTATTTATGGTCTACACCTATTTTTTCTTGGGGCATAAAATTTTTATATTTTGTGTACCTTTTTTTCGACTGGGTTAAGATTTAAAATACAAGTGAAATTAGATTTTAATAATCTAACCTTTCACTTCTTGCATCAGGAATTTTTTGATTATAGTTATTTATTTCCTGGTCGCTTATCTTAACCTAGCTCTTATTGCTCTTGCAGACTCAGATAATGACGATCAACGTCAGAGTCAACGCTCTGAACATGATGTGGTTGATACAACCAAAGATTCCAAGACGTCAGACGAGTCTCCTGAGTCAGTGGGTTCTGAAGTTCCCAACCTCAGTGATCCTATCCTGAAAATGCTTGGCACGGACAAGCGTATCCTGAAAGACAAGACTTACAATCTCCACCCTGAACTTTCTGCATGCTGGAAAGATATTGTTTCATCTGGGCTGGAAAAAGATGCTAAAACTAAATTGATTGATAGTTATCCCGATAAGGGAAACTGTACTCTGTCAGCTCCTACTCTTAATCAGGAACTTCCACTTAATTCCACTTTTAAACAAGACTGCTAAATCTCGGGATAAATATTTAACTCAAAATCAAGATTTATGCGGTCGTAGCCTCGTTGCTTTGGGACAAGCTATTTCAAATATTTTTAACGATGACAATGATCTTGTCGATAAAAATGAGTTATTACAACTCCTTTGTGACTCCAGCAGTTTGATGTGCGAGTCAATGTATCAACTGGGTAAATCAAGGCGTTCACAGATTTATTCTTGTGTTGGTGATAAAAGAAAATCTGTGCTTGAAGACTCAGTCACCGACGAATTTCTGTTTGGCCAAGACCTTAGTAAGCGGATCAAGAACTCTGTCATCGTAGAAAAGACTGGTTTGTCTATGAAGACCCAACCTCCAAGGAAAGATTCTTCAAAGGAGGTGACTCCTTTAAACTGGAAGAGCCCATCTGCTTCACGCTTCAAAGTCAAACAGACGGGCTATCAACGCCTCCCATTTATGAAATCAGCCCCGCAGAACAAGACCAATCAGGTCTCAACTTGATCTCAAACTCGAGGTCAGGGTTCGACTCAATTCAATCGAACTCAGAGCAAGAAGTAGAGGTGAGTGTTGTTGCTGGTCGGTTAAAATATTTTTTACACGCCTGGTCTAACATCAGCTCTGATCCATTTATCCTGGAAATTATTTCCGGGTATAAAATTCCTTTTACGACGACTCCAGTACAATCATTCATACCGACAAACGATAATTTTTCTGACAGTGACAAAATTAAAATGCAGGAAGCTATTAATGACCTTTTACTTATGGGGGCCATTCAAGAGTGTGTTAAAGAGGAAGGTCAATTTTTATCAAGCATTTTTCTTGTTCCCAAGAAAAATGGAAAAATGAGATTCATTCTCAACTTAAAAAATTTAAATTCATTCATAGAGACAACTCACTTTAAAATGGAAGATTTTAGAACAGTTCTTGAACTCAAAATGTCAAAATGTCAAAAATTAAATGTCAAAAGATTGTTTTATGGCTAGTTTTGATCTTCAAGACGCATATTTTATGATTCCAATTCATAAAAATTTTTGGAAATTTTTAAGATTTTTCTGGAACGGTCGTCTCTATGAATTTATTTGTATGCCATTTGGTTTAAGTAGTGCCCCCTGGATATTTACAAAAATTTCAAAACCTATTGTCAGTTTTTTACGTTCATTAGGTTATTTATCAGTAGTTTATTTGGACGATTGGTGGTTAGTAAATGATTCAATTGCTCTTTGTTCGCAAAATGTTAAAATTTTGCGAGAATTTTTAGAGTCATTAGGTTTTATAATAAATGAAAAAAAGAGTAAGCTTATTCCCTCGACGTCCTGTAAATTTTTAGGTTTTATTTTTGATTCGGAGCAAATGACTGTAGAGCTTACGGAAGAAAAAAGATTTAAAATCCATGAGTTGATTTTGAAGTTTAAAAATCTCAACCATTGTTCTATTAGAGAATTTTCTCAGCTAGTAGGTAATATTACTGCAGCTTGCCCAGCTATTAATTATGGTTGGTTACACTCGAAAAAATTTGAACAGCAACATTATCTTGAGTTATTGAAAGTTAATGAAGATTATGACAGTATTATGAAAATATCAACTTCATTAACTTCTGAATTTGATTGGTGGTTGAATAATGTTTTAATTTCAAAAAATCCTATGAGAAATTCAAAATTTTTAATTACTATTTACTCAGATGCGTCAACTACTGGCTGGGGAGCTTTAAGTGAAAACCAAGTCGTTTATGGACACTGGAATCACAAAGAAAAATCATTCCATATTGATTATTTGGAGCTTTTAGCTGCGTTTAACGGTCTAAAGACGTTTGCTTCGGGTCTATCGGACTGTGAAATTTTATTACAAATTGACAACTCTACAACAATCGCTTACATAAATAAAATGGGAGGTACAAAACACAAATATCTTAATGACCTAACTTATGATATTTGGCGTTGGTGTGAATCCAAAAATTTATGGATTTTTGCCTCATACATTCCTTCCAAGGATAATGTTCAAGCTGATGCAGCTTCAAGAGTTGATAATATCGACACTGAATGGGAATTATCGTCTTCTGCTTATCAAAGAATCGTTTCTCAATTTAATGAACCAGATATTGATTTATTTGCCTCAAATCTTAATAATAAATGCAAAAAGTACTGCTCTTGGCACCGGGACCCCTTAGATTTCTGCATTGATGCTTTTACAATTGACTGGAACGAATTAAATTTTTTTGCTTTTCCCCCATTCTCTTTAATTCTTAAAACATTGAAGAAAATTCAAACGGACCAGGCCTGTGGAATTTCAGTAGTGCCTAATTGGTGTGGTCAGCCATGGTATCCATTATGGCTATCACTTTTAGACTCACAACCAATCATTTTTCAACCAGATTTTAATCTCCTCCGATCTCCCTGTAGAAAAATCCAACATCCACTTGCTCAAAAGATGTCCCTGATGGCGGCTCGATTGTCCGCCAGGCCTTCAAGCAGCGAGGTGTAGATGACGACGCTGTTGAAATTCTCGTTAAATCTATTTCAAATTCAACCTTACGTTAGTATTTAAAACCGATTTCTGACTGGTATCTTTCCTGTTCTTCAAAAAACATTGATTTATTTCATCCTGAAGAGAGTGAAATTGTTTGTTTTTTAACAAATAAATTTAATGAAGGCGCTCAGTACAGTACGCTTAATACTGCTCGCTCAGCGTTATCACTTATATGTGATGTTGACATCGGAAAGAATCCTTTGATATCGCGTCTTTTAAAAGGAGCGTATAACATTAAACCGGCAAAACCTCGTTATGACCGTATATACTGTTTATATATAACTGTATATATACAGTTTAGACCCAATTTTAGATAAATTAGAACTTTTAAGACCTCTAAGTAATCTTGACCTTCCTCAATTGACAATTAAATGAGCAGTTTTATTAGCACTAACTACCGCACATCGAATACAAACAATTGCTTCGATTAAAAGATGTAATATAATTAAAAGTGGTGAAAATTATGAAATAGAAATTCCTGATAGAATGAAAACTTCTAAACGAGGTGTATTTCAGCCACTTTTAATTTTACCTAAATTTCATAAAAATGTAAATTTATGTGTTGTTTCTACTTTAGAAAAGTATTTGGAATGTACTTCATTTTTGGTAAAAAATCCAATTAATTTATTTATCACTACTGTTAAACCTTATAAGAATGCTTCCAAAGACACAGTTAGTCGATGGATTCGTTCCTTTTTACAAACTTGTGTCAGTCAAGATTTTACATCTCACAGCTTGCGACATGCAGCTACTTCGTCTGCCTTTAAAAAAGGAATTGATTTAAGTTTAATTAAAAAATTAGCTGGTTGGTCGGAAAAATCAAAAGTATTCGAAAAATTTTACAATCGACCAACCATCGAAAATAAAAATATATTTGCTGAATCTGTTCTTACTAATTAATTATGTTTATGTTAATTGTTTTTACGTTAAATACATTTATATGTTTGTAATACATACTTTTTATGTTCTTAAAAAAAAAAAAAAAAAAAAAAAATGATAAATAAAAAGTCAATTTCATTTATATTATTTTATTATTATAATTTTACTTTATTTATTTATTGAATAAATAAGTTTACTGTTGATATGTTCATTGTTGCTCTGAACATCTACTTAGTGATCTAAAGAACGAAGCTAGAGATATAATTGTAAGATCGAGCGAGCCTGCCGTAGGCAGGCGACGCTCGATCTCAATTATATCGATAGCTTCGTTTATTATCAGCTGCATTATTACTAGTTAGATTTGAAATTTTTAAACCAGAAATAGGTTGCAACACATCTAAAATATCATCGTCACGAGGAGCATTAATAGGGTCATTAACAACTGAGTTAGGAAAAGCTTGGACTCATGCATCAAGAGTAAAATTTTTGTTTACATAACCAGTAATGATACCCCGGGAAAAAATGATCAGACATGAACAGGCATGAGTCTTCAGGCCTGATCAGGCATAAAAAATGACCATGCCTGATCAGGCATTAATTGACCTGATCAAGCCTGATCAGATATGATCAGTAGGGTGTGTCAAAATGTATCTTCCTTGATGGACCTTTTAAAATTGGAATTTTGAGTTCTGCTTTTAAAAGCAGCTTTGTTTAGGCCTTTCCTAAGATATTTTGGGATGAAACCATAAATTTGATTTTCATATAATTTTTTAGCAGGAGGTTTATTTGGGCACTTCCGGCCAAAATTTGAATTTTCAGCGGAAGTGCCCAAACTAAGCTCCGGTTAAAAAATTCTTTGAAAATCAAATTTATCGTTTCGCTCCAAAATATCTTAGGAAAGGCCTAAACAAAGCTGCTTTTAAAAGCAGAACTCAAAATTCCAATTTTAAAAGGTCCATCAAGGAAGATACATTTTGACACACCCTACTGATCATATCTGATCAGGCTTGATCAGGTCAATTAATGCCTGATCAGGCATGGTCATTTTTTATGCCTGATCAGGCCTGAAGACTCATGCCTGTTCATGTCTGATCATTTTTTCCCGGGGTATCATTACTGGTTATGTAAACAAAAATTTTACTCTTGATGCATGAGTCCAAGCTTTTCCTAACTCAGTTGTTAATGACCCTATTAATGCTCCTCGTGACGATGATATTTTAGATGTGTTGCAACCTATTTCTGGTTTAAAAATTTCAAATCTAACTAGTAATAATGCAGCTGATAATTTAATCATAAGTGTTGACAGTAAAGTTAATAATTGAACTGCAACTAAAACTATCATCAGTACCAATTTATAGTTTTTTTTGTTAGCAGGTCTCGAATAGTATTAATTATGCTTATTTCAACAGTAACGGCTTAACTAAAACTGAATCTGAAACATGCGGCAATCAATCTTCAACAACTTTTTGTTTAGTTCCACGCGCTGATGACTCATTGAGGAAAAATGATCATGTTTGACAAACAAACGCTACTAGTTTCAGTATTTATAATATTTTTACTAGGATCACTTGGAATTGATCGGTAAAGCCGTTTAAAAGTTATTCCATAAAAACAACATCTGCGTTATGTAAAAAAAATCACTTTTTTCTAAATTTTTTGTCAACAATTTTTTTTCTCGAACCAATGAACCGATTTTGACGTTCTTGGAGCCGATTAACGAGGTTTTTGACAGTTAAGAGCTTATCAGTTTTTATAATCGATCGGTAGAGCCATTCAAATGTTATTCCAAAAAAATCACATTTGAAAAATATTTTTTTTTTGTAGTTTTTTTGAGATTTCTCAAAATCTACCGGTCCAAATCGGACCAAATTGCAGTTAAAATCTAAATTTGGTCAAGCCCTTTTACATACACACACATACACACATACGGACATATTGAGATCATCACGGGAAGCGGATCCAGGGAAGCTTCCTGTGACCTTAAAACGTCGAGATGTGATGGAAACTTGAATTTTACAAAACGTGGTGAAACCTATAGCTTCCTGATTTCTGAAAATCTTCGATATCCTTAGCAGGAAGTGAAAAAATTCACGACTAACCAAATGATGTAAAAAACTAAAGATATTCTGGACGAAAATGCTAATACATTCAAAAGACTAATTATATCAAAATTACTTTATTCATTTTGATACTTAGTAACAATTTAAGAAATGTAATCAACAATTTTTTTACAGAAATGAAAGAGTGAAATTGCATTTTTCAGTAAAATTCAAGTTCCTGACCAAGATCCATGAGTGACTTATTTTAAGTTTTACTTTGATAGGAAAAAATTCTATATTGTTTTGTAGAGAATTTCCAACTCTACGATTCCCAGTTGAACAATAAGTATCAATCAATTAATGTTAATAGAATCGAAATGTGAAATTATATTTCTTAATGAAATTCTATAATTTTACCAAGAGTTCGGTGTAACTTATTTTGGTCTGACCTGGGCTAAAAAACATCTTTAAACTTTATTGTAACAATCTTTTTTTCCATAATTCTGATCTAAAATTCAAGCACTAACAATTGTTCGGGAAAAAATATAAAAATTGAACTATATTTTTTTGTGGAATTCAAATTAGTAATCGAAAACGAATCATGATTTTTTTAAGCTTGTCGTCAGTAAAAGAAACTGATATACTTTTTACAATTTTTTTTTCCGTAATTACCATCAGAAAGTTAAGGCTTAACAGATCAATACAAAAAAATAACAGAGTAAATCCAAATATTTGATAAAATTTAAAGTTTTTACCGAACTCATTTTGTAATTTTTTTGAGTCATCTGAATAAAGAATCATTCTATATTTTCTGGTAGAGAATATTTTTTTCTGTAATTACCAGCTGAGTGTTGATTATTAAAACGTCAGCGAAAAAAATGACAATCGGAAACCTAATTTTTTTTGAAATTTGAAGTTTCTTGACCAAGATCATTTATTACATTTTTTTAACCTTGACAATAGGCAAAAAAATATTCTGTACTTTGTTGTAGAGATTGTTTTTTTTCTATAATTACCAGCTTAGAAGAAATCCTAAGAGAATAAGTGTAAGATAGTTGAAAATTTTATTTTGCAACCAAATCCAAGTTTTCGAACGAAATCATTTTGTAACATTTTTTTAGTCTTGTTTGAGTGAAAAATTACTCAATACTTTCTTGTTATGGAGTTTTAACTTAGCAACACATAAGAAAAACCTAAGCTATACTGGGATGACACCATAGCGGCACATAAGCACATAAGCGACACTTCAGCGATACATATTGCCACACCTAAGTAACTCATGTGCGACACTTGAGCGACATCTAAGCAACACCTAAGCGGCGCATGAGCGATATTTACGCGACCACGCGATAACAAGCGATACATAAATAAAATTTAAGAAACACTTTAGCAACACTTGAACGACATCTAAGAGACACTGGAGCGACATATAAGCAGCACATGTTCATAAGTGACACATATGCGACACTTGAGCGACATATGTGCGACACTTAAGCGACACCATAGAGACACTTGAGCGACACCATAGAGACACTTGAGCGACACCATAGAGACACTTGAACGACACCATAGAGACACTTACGTGACACATCAGCGACACTTGAGCACAATATGTGTAACATTTGAGCGACACATGAGCGAAACAGAAGCGACAGGTGCGTTACTTACACGACAAATGCGCAACACGTTAGCGAGACTTACAAGACATATGTACGACACTTGATCGGCATCTAAGTGACACCTACATGACACTCAAACTACACCTGAATGACAATTAAGTGATACTTGAACGACACATAAGCGACGTAAGTGACAGTTAGGTAACGCTTGAGTCATAAAAAAGCAACACATATGCGACACTTGAGCGACAGATATGTGACATTTGAATGAAACTTGAGCGACACATGTACAACACTTGATCATCACCCTTAGTGACGCCAATGTAACACATTAGAGACTGTTGTGTCAATTAAAAGACACCTAAGCGATTCATGAGTGAAGCGAACGCGTCACCTAAGCGACTTGTGCGATACCCAAGCGACACATTTGCAACACTCGTGCGACAACGAAGCGAAACTTACGTGACACTTCAGCGACACTTGAACGACACATGTGCGACATTTGAGCAAAATATGCGACACTTGAGCGACACACATATGACACCGGAGTGACTCATGTGCGACACATGTTTGACATTTCAGCAAATCATAAGCAACATGTGCGTCACTTACGCGACGGATCTGCAACACGTTAGCGACATCTAAGTGGCACATGTGCGAAACTTGATCGACACATAAGTGACACCTACATGACACTCGAGCTACACCTGAATGACAATTAAGCGATACTTGAACGACACATAAGCGACGTTTTGTATAGACAAAACGACTGCAAAAGTAAAATTTCTTAAAAATGATCCTAAGATAGATATTTTTTGCTTTAGAAAAAAATTTGAGCACATAAATTAATTTCTCAGCTTTCAGATGCATATAACCAAAATCGAATAATTCGATGCGATCAGAAGTTATTTTTAGGAGAAGTAGTGAAAGTATCAAATTTTCGAATCTTTTAAATTTTTAAATGCTGCAATTTCTAAACTATCCATGCGATTAAGCTCATATTTGAACTTGGCCTTCCTAATAGTCGATAGAATAAGTATGTTGAGTTTCATTTAGATCCCTTAAGAATTGTTGACACTATCGTCGTGACAAGCTGCGTTATATCGTTGAAACGGTTTGTTTAACTGTTCATTTAGCCCCTTAATAAAATTAATCAAAATATTCAACTAATCAAAAATGACTCTCAATTAATAAATAAAGGGTGCCACCAGGATTTTGTAACACGGTTCCTGGAACCAGAACCAGAACCAGAACCACACGTACACTAACACACTTAAGACTAACTTAATATTACAGCAACTTAAAACTACAGACTAACTATCGGCCGACCAGACCCTTAACTAAGTGGCCAGCGAAGCACCTCACACAGAGACTGTCGTACGTGAGGGGACGCTGTTAACACCTACGAACTAAACCCTTAACTAATCTAGCCTACTAACGGCTAACCAGAACTATTATGATTACCCTGCACAGAGACTGTCGTATGCAAGGGTCGTCTAGCGTACTAACGGCTAACCAGAACTACACGATTCGACAAAACTAAAACAATACCAACGAAACACCTCGCACAGAGACTGTCGTATGCGAGGGAACGCTGTTAACACACTCTCACATAACCCGCACACACACACACGCACACACACACAGACACACACACACACACACACACACACACACACACACACACACACACACACACACACACACACACACACACACACACACACACACACACACGACACACACACACACACACACACACACACACACACACACACACACACACACACACACACACACACAC